CTGCTATGGGACCTTCATGGGAGCAGATGTAAGCAACACTCAGGTATTGCTACAGGCTGCCAGCATCTCTGGCTGGTTCAAGTTGGAGGCTTCTCACCCTGGAGATGAAAAGGGCCCTGGTCAGCCCTGAAACCTGTGGGTTGGCAGGTGAGAAGTATCCAGGATAGGTCCTTGCCCTCTCCAGAGCCATCAAGTCTAAACACTTTGGATATTGCTGGAGAGCCAATGCTGGCCCCATGCCAGGGCTGTCCATGGGAGCTGACCCCCTTCTGCATTTGGTGATACTGAGGGCTGGTGGGGAGACCCCCTGGAGATGGGTCGGGGTGGACAGTATGCTGGACTCCTTCACCTGGGCAGCACAGAAAGCCACAGGGGCATTGGCAGGATGTAAGCTTCAGATATCTGCCTTGGGGCTTTGAACAACTGTTGAGCACATTGACTGAAGGGAAGGGATGATATGGTCATTGAAACTTTTATCCCATGCCGTTAGGGTCAACTTGGCTGTTCTGGGAGCCCTGGGTAAAGAACAGGAACCAATGTTGGCCACTGGCTGGAGCAGTTTTCCCCTGAAATCTGCTAGTTCTGAGCTGGAGCTGCTGTTGGTGGCAGATGAGGGCTGTGGCTACTGCTGGTCTATGTAGGGCTCTCCTGCTGAGCCACCACTGCTGGCAGTGCTGGGGCACCTGGCTGCATGCCCAGCCTGCTCGCCAACCAGTCACACACATCATGATGTCATTCGACTGAAAAAGCAGGTGACATCTGTTGTCAAGTGACATTTGTAGGACACCAAGCTGGCTGTGATGCAATCAAGGTTGTTGCTGTTCAATGGAAACTTTGGGATCAGCTTACAGGCTTACACTTAGTGAAATGCTGTGAGCTCAATGGAGAAGCAAGTGCCTGTTTTCTAACCTTAGCCTTAGACTCATCAAAACATGCCTCTTCATAGAAAAGTGACAGTATGCTCACCTTCTCCCAGCCAGTATTACAGATGATCATGTGATCCACTTCCCTCTGCTCAGGAATGAAGTGTCAGGATTTTTTTCTCAAAAATAGCCCTATTCCTAGGAGTGAGAAAAGACTTGGATAAACCCATCAGTTTCCACTCACTGTCTTTTTTCTGCTGTGTCATTTAAAGAATGTGTTGAGTCCAGAATAACATGTATCCTATTCTGCTGGACTGTACCCATGGGAGCAGGCTTGCTCTGCTGCTGATGGCCATTTTTCACACCCTGCTGTCCCATCTGTCTCCTTCCAAGGGTATCCCCAACCAGAGGTGACGTGGTATAAGGATGACGAAGAGATGGATCGCTACTGTGGCTTACCTAAGTATGAGATATTCCGTCATGGGAATCGCCACACCCTGCAGCTGTACAAGTGAGTAAAGGAGCTGGTTCAGATTGTGATGGGAGCTCAGAGCATGGCTTCAGTGTTTGGAGGAGGTGGCTGTCAGCAGATCTCTCTGCCTGCAGTGATGTTCCTGGCTGTGTTCCCTTTCAGCTCTTTGCTCTGATGACCTCGATTATGTCAGCATGAAATCCATTATTTCTATCCAGGCTGCCATGCTGAATGTAAGAGGAAGGTCAGGAGAAATTGCTCTATCTGGAGCCTTCCAGTGCTGGCAGCAGTGTGGGCTGTGACTGCACCAGACAGGAGCTGAGCATTAGGGCTGGACAAAGGTGAGCAGAGGAGAAGCACTGACTGCCTCCAGGGTGATAGTCCACGGGATCAGGGCTGCATCCCTGTTCCAGTAGTGCCTTTTTTATCTCTCACTGTGAGGTCAGGAAAGGAAAGGGCTGCTTGGGCACTTGACTGATGGAGCCAAGGGCCTCCGTTATTCAGCCCTGTCTACCAGCTTCTTTTAACTTTAAACAAGGATGGTGTTTCTGGAGAGCCAGGCACACCGTGTCCCAAGCAAGCAGAGACCTGTCACACCTCAAGTCCTGGATTTGGGATGTCAGACAGACACTGCTGTATCTGAAAGTACAGAATATCAGTACTGCTGATAGTCCTGTCATCCTTATGCTTCTATCCTGAGCTTTTCTGCCACCACATCTGTGCTCCAGGTTTCCATCAGAGGGTGACTCACCTCTCACAGGAGCAGGGATCTCCATGGGCCTCACATCCCCAAGGGGGGACAGCAGACATGGCCTGCATGTACTTGTGCTGGTGCCTGTGAAGCAGGATGGGAAGGCAGGTTGGAGGAAGAACAGAAATGTCATGTAAGCTGTGAAGAGCTGAGAGGAGACGATCCTGCAGAGGAATGTAGCCCAGAACATCTGGGAAGCCTGTTGGCTGTTCCTCCTCCATCTCAGCCTCTCTTACCAGGATTACAGCCCAGGCAGCAGCTGAGCACTGATTTAAATCCAACTTGCTTATCTGCTAGTGCTAAGAACAGACAGAGCCTGAGGCCTCCAGACCTACTGTGGGCATCTCAAAGGCTCCATGTCTTTCTCTTCTGGCCCCTCTGGAGCAAGAAGTGGGAGAGCATGCATGCCTGTGTGCCCAGTGGTAGAGCCTAGGGAGAATGGGCAAGTCTCACACAAAGCTTTTGGTTTCCAGGTGCCAAGAAGAGGATGCAGGCATTTACCAGGCCTCAGCTAGGAATAACAAAGGCATTGTGTCCTGCTCTGGTGTGCTGGAAGTGGGAACCATGACGGAGTTCAAAATCCATCAGAAGTGGTTTGACAAAATTAAGAGAAAAGCTGAAGTAAAGCTGCGAGAGATAGAACAGGGCAAGAAACGAGGGAAAGAAAATGTGGAGGTGGAGAAGTTGCAGGGAATGAGCCCTGATCGGCTCCAGAGAAAGAGGAGACTGGCCAGGGATCTGAATCTCCAGTCAAGAGCCCCTCTGTGGGATAAGGAGGATACAGCAAAGGTGCATGTTGCTGATTCTCAGTCCAGGTTACATGAGGATATCGCTGAGTCAAAGGAGCAGCCGGTCAATGTGACAACAGGCTTTCCAAACAAACTGATTTCACCTTTGAAGGCAGAGGTGACCACCAATGGAGATGCCTCTTCGGAAAGTGTGGAGGAGAAAGGGAACAGCTTTCTCACATACATCTATGAGACGGTGGAGGACCTAGCAAACAAGCCAGTGGTGAAAGATGCTGCAGCTAAAAAGAAAAAGAAGGTGGAGGCTCCTCCAGCAGCAAAGCAGGAAGTTTCCAAGAGAGAGGAAAGTGGGCGAGACAGGGCCAACCCCTCTACAAATCCAAGGTTTGCCCCTTCTGTCCCCTTACGCAGGAATCCACCACTGCTGGCAGTGCTGGGGCACCTGGCTGCATGCCCAGCCTGCTCGCCAAACAGTCACACACATCATGATGTCATTCGACTGAAAAAGCAGGTGACATCTGTTGTCAAGTGACATTTGTAGGACACCAAGCTGGCTGTGATGCAATCAAGGTTGTTGCTGTTCAATGGAAACTTTGGGATCAGCTTACAGGCTTACACTTAGTGAAATGCTGTGAGCTCAATGGAGAAGCAAGTGCCTGTTTTCTAACCTTAGCCTTAGACTCATCAAAACATGCCTCTTCATAGAAAAGTGACAGTATGCTCACCTTCTCCCAGCCAGTATTACAGATGATCATGTGATCCACTTCCCTCTGCTCAGGAATGAAGTGTCAGGATTTTTTTCTCAAAAATAGCCCTATTCCTAGGAGTGAGAAAAGACTTGGATAAACCCATCAGTTTCCACTCACTGTCTTTTTTCTGCTGTGTCATTTAAAGAATGTGTTGAGTCCAGAATAACATGTATCCTATTCTGCTGGACTGTACCCATGGGAGCAGGCTTGCTCTGCTGCTGATGGCCATTTTTCACACCCTGCTGTCCCATCTGTCTCCTTCCAAGGGTATCCCCAACCAGAGGTGACGTGGTATAAGGATGACGAAGAGATGGATCGCTACTGTGGCTTACCTAAGTATGAGATATTCCGTCATGGGAATCGCCACACCCTGCAGCTGTACAAGTGAGTAAAGGAGCTGGTTCAGATTGTGATGGGAGCTCAGAGCATGGCTTCAGTGTTTGGAGGAGGTGGCTGTCAGCAGATCTCTCTGCCTGCAGTGATGTTCCTGGCTGTGTTCCCTTTCAGCTCTTTGCTCTGATGACCTCGATTATGTCAGCATGAAATCCATTATTTCTATCCAGGCTGCCATGCTGAATGTAAGAGGAAGGTCAGGAGAAATTGCTCTATCTGGAGCCTTCCAGTGCTGGCAGCAGTGTGGGCTGTGACTGCACCAGACAGGAGCTGAGCATTAGGGCTGGACAAAGGTGAGCAGAGGAGAAGCACTGACTGCCTCCAGGGTGATAGTCCACGGGATCAGGGCTGCATCCCTGTTCCAGTAGTGCCTTTTTTATCTCTCACTGTGAGGTCAGGAAAGGAAAGGGCTGCTTGGGCACTTGACTGATGGAGCCAAGGGCCTCCGTTATTCAGCCCTGTCTACCAGCTTCTTTTAACTTTAAACAAGGATGGTGTTTCTGGAGAGCCAGGCACACCGTGTCCCAAGCAAGCAGAGACCTGTCACACCTCAAGTCCTGGATTTGGGATGTCAGACAGACACTGCTGTATCTGAAAGTACAGAATATCAGTACTGCTGATAGTCCTGTCATCCTTATGCTTCTATCCTGAGCTTTTCTGCCACCACATCTGTGCTCCAGGTTTCCATCAGAGGGTGACTCACCTCTCACAGGAGCAGGGATCTCCATGGGCCTCACATCCCCAAGGGGGGACAGCAGACATGGCCTGCATGTACTTGTGCTGGTGCCTGTGAAGCAGGATGGGAAGGCAGGTTGGAGGAAGAACAGAAATGTCATGTAAGCTGTGAAGAGCTGAGAGGAGACGATCCTGCAGAGGAATGTAGCCCAGAACATCTGGGAAGCCTGTTGGCTGTTCCTCCTCCATCTCAGCCTCTCTTACCAGGATTACAGCCCAGGCAGCAGCTGAGCACTGATTTAAATCCAACTTGCTTATCTGCTAGTGCTAAGAACAGACAGAGCCTGAGGCCTCCAGACCTACTGTGGGCATCTCAAAGGCTCCATGTCTTTCTCTTCTGGCCCCTCTGGAGCAAGAAGTGGGAGAGCATGCATGCCTGTGTGCCCAGTGGTAGAGCCTAGGGAGAATGGGCAAGTCTCACACAAAGCTTTTGGTTTCCAGGTGCCAAGAAGAGGATGCAGGCATTTACCAGGCCTCAGCTAGGAATAACAAAGGCATTGTGTCCTGCTCTGGTGTGCTGGAAGTGGGAACCATGACGGAGTTCAAAATCCATCAGAAGTGGTTTGACAAAATTAAGAGAAAAGCTGAAGTAAAGCTGCGAGAGATAGAACAGGGCAAGAAACGAGGGAAAGAAAATGTGGAGGTGGAGAAGTTGCAGGGAATGAGCCCTGATCGGCTCCAGAGAAAGAGGAGACTGGCCAGGGATCTGAATCTCCAGTCAAGAGCCCCTCTGTGGGATAAGGAGGATACAGCAAAGGTGCATGTTGCTGATTCTCAGTCCAGGTTACATGAGGATATCGCTGAGTCAAAGGAGCAGCCGGTCAATGTGACAACAGGCTTTCCAAACAAACTGATTTCACCTTTGAAGGCAGAGGTGACCACCAATGGAGATGCCTCTTCGGAAAGTGTGGAGGAGAAAGGGAACAGCTTTCTCACATACATCTATGAGACGGTGGAGGACCTAGCAAACAAGCCAGTGGTGAAAGATGCTGCAGCTAAAAAGAAAAAGAAGGTGGAGGCTCC